AATAATGGGTTATTAGTTAATTAGTTAGTTAGCTTTTTTAATTAAATAATTTTTAATTAGGTGTTATAGATAAAGGTTCAATAATTTTTTAACTACTTGTAATATTTCTAGGAAGTATTGACTTTGTAGCTCTAAAATTGACCTACTCTAAATCAAAGATTTGATACATACAAATTAGCAATAATTCAAGATCTTATGTTCTTTCTAGCTATAATTAAAGTATTTTCTTCGACAGTCACCAAAGAAACATCTCATTTGCTTTTCTTACTCAACTTATGAAAAGTGAATGAAAATAAAGAATTTGAGCTTGGTTGATCAAAGGTGAATAAAACAAAATAATTTTACTTATTAAAACTATATACTGCGTATAATTAGGGAGTACTCCTTACAAGTGACCTGAATTGAAGTAGATTAATAGAATTCTTGATGTTCTTTTTAGAGTAGTTACTTGTGATATTAACTTGAGTTGATTGAAAATGATTATAGAAAATTAATCAAATCAAAATAATGTAAAATAATTAAATGTGTATTCTTGATTATCATGAACCGTTCAATTGAGAATAATAACGGTGAACTATGTTAACTCAATGTATGCTAGCTTGAGTGGCCAGTATTAGTACATCTTTAACCTTAAATATCTTTAGTTATCTACTAATAAATTAAATAGATACGAGATATAATGGTATATAATAAGAAATATACAACGAAACTATTTCAACAACATTTTGTTTGATAACATGCATGTACATATAATAAATTAGTCAAAAGTATACAGTTATTGTTGATATATGAATAATGCAAAATTAAAAATGTATAGGTATTATCGTAAATAAAAGAAGAAATATCTTATACGAAGTATAAAGATCGGAGTACGAGTAATATATTAGTGGATTATAATCGTTGAGATTTAAATATCTAGATGCTAAAAGTAGTCATGCACAAACTTATTACTAACAAAGTACATAATTTATAAATCCACTTGCTTAGGAAGTTAGGAGAAGGATATTTATTTTGTAATTGGGTGGTTTGGGTAAAATATCATAGAGTGGGTGGACCTTAGAAGGTTGGCGAGAAAGATATTTATGGGTCCAAGAGACAGATTATAACGCAAAGGCCAAGATCCAGGAGAGACAGATAATTGTATGCGTGAGAAGACGTCTTGGCCCGGTTGCGCAAAATGTAGTAGGGTTAGAAGAGTCGAATAGAGACGAATGAAGTGTTAGGATATGGGGTACCATCATACATATCCGGATATATTTCATTGTTGAAACAATATTATTTTTTTTTTTTGGGGGGGGGGGTTTAGGGAGCCACAAGAGCGGGTGATGAGAATCGATCTCAAGATATCTTGAAATCGGGAGGGGAGTTTTAACCAATTGAGCTATCCCTCATTCTCACTACTTTTAATTTTTTAACTCAATTTATGTACTCTATCTTTCTTTTTTGTGTGTTTTGATTCACTAGTCTTATTTTCTGTTTGATTTTAGTTGTCTCTATTTATTTAATTTAGCGGTCTTAAACACACCCATCATTTTTGCCTATTTTTTTAACTTACCTAAAATTAGACCTGACAATCCTGACCCGACCCGTGACCCGAAAACGTCAACCCAAAATTGACCCTAATACGAAACTGACCCGACTCGACCCATACCCGACCCGAAGTAGAGTTAACCCAAACTTGACCCCGATACCCAAATTGACCCGACCCGAAGTTGACCTGAAACCCGAAGTTGACCCGAAATCCGAAGTGACCCGACCCGATCTTAACCCGAATAGACCCGAAACCCGAAGCGACCCGAATTTTATCCGAAATGATCGGAATAAAAAATAACTGATACTCAAAATGACCTAATTGATTTATGGCTTAATTACGTTTACCCAAATAAACACTTATCGAAAATAACCTTAACCAAATCGACTTGGATCTTTTAGTTGATAACTTGATATTTATTATATAATTTGCATGTTTAGAGTGTTGTTTTATTTTTTATTTTTCTTTTCTTTTATCTTATCTTATTTTATTTATTTAAATTATTATTTTTTTGAAGAAAAGTCCCAAAGAATGACCCAACCCGAATTAATCCGACCCAAACTCAACCCGACCCGACTTTGACTCGAACCGAATTTGATCCGATCCGAACTTGACCGACATTTGGACCCAAAGACTGACCCAATCCAAAATGACCCGACCCGAACTCAACCCTACCCGAAGTGTTGACCCGATACCCGACCCGACATCATTGACCCGACCCGAATATTGATTGACCATAAATTGACCCGACCCGTGCCCGACCCGAACGACCCGTTTTCTAGGTCTACCTAAAATCACTATAAATATTTTTAGGGCAAATAAATTGTGACGGTGAGAGTATGAGGAATCTTTGACTATATATAAGCCCTTGTTTAATTCACCTTATTTTTACTTAGCTAACCTGATCTGAATTTATTTTTTCTAAGTTGATCTGATTGTCTAATCTGACCAAAATTTGACCTAATATGTACACTAAAAAAATATATCAAGTGTGGTCTTGTTAAATTCGTAATAATGTGCATCTTGTTAGTTTTCATAAAAAAAATTTATTACTAAATCAAAAATATTAAAAATTGCACATAAAACAACACACAATTTGTTATACATGATATAGAAATCCTATCCAAAATAAGATGAACTAAATATGGCCTAAGCCTTATAGAGTTTAGTGAGGGTTTTCATAATTGTGTATATATTACAAGGGTCTTCATTGTTGGAGCCTTTCTCGTCACAAAAATAAAAAAATAAAAAAATAAATAAAATTGTTGGAGCCCCTTAATTTAAAGAGCTAGCTACTTCTAAAGCCCAATTTTAGATTCTCTTAATAAGATACTCATAATTTGACCCCAAAAAAAAATTTAAATCTAATATTTTTATATATGATAATATACTCATAATTTCATAAGCATATACAGATATACTGTAGTCACCTATGATGTGGGGTAAACGTTTTAAATTCAAAAAAATAATCTAGTAGTCAAGTTGAAAAATTAAAGCTTTGTGCAAGATTGAGATTTTATAAAGTATAACTGTATTAGAAATAAAACCGAAGGTGTAGAAGAATTGAATAACGTCGACACATGACAAATATGCTGTTAAGCAGATACTTTGTTGTCAAACGTTCTACATAAAACCAAATAGAATCAAACAAAAAAAAAACAAGGATTAGTTAAACGTTGCTATTCTTTCAAAAAAAAAAAAAGAAAAAAAAGTTAAACGTTGCTATCAATTAAATATAATAAGAATTGCATATATATAATGAGCTAAAAGTAAAAATATCATGCGTAAATTAAATATCAATTAATGCATTAATTTATCATACATTTTTTTTTTTTTGTGACAAAATAATTTATCTTCATTTTAAATTAGTATGGAGTACATATTTCAATATCAAATACATATCTATCTATATCTATACTCATATATCAAAAGGTTTCTAAAAGGTTTTATGTATGATCACGTGGCAACAAAATTAATGCACAATCAATTTGTGGATAATTTTTAAGGACAAACTTAATCAAAAACTTAAACTTAATCAATTTCTGGGTTTAAATAATCTCTCAGGACCCTTACACGAGAATCTGTTGGGCTTGAAACAGCTTGGACCTCGATCCTCTTATCTAGTGTAAGATAATTTCGGCTTGAAAGGACTGGTGGATGATATGTGGATCTTTGATCCTTTGTCACGCTGGCTTTAATACCATATTAAATGTAACTATTTCAAAAAGTTAACTTGATGATTGAAGCTTAGAATTGGTTTGTATACTCTATTAGGTAAATTCCGTTATATTGGACTTTATTCAAGTGATGTCTAAATCGGAAGTTGTTGTGCTTGTTAGATCGAGACACACTTCGTATAAAATATGTTTGTTGAGTGCATATTTACCAAACTACATCAATTTAGCAAGTTCCACTGCACTTATATGTCTAATTTGGTTTAGGATTATATATCTTTTATCACTTGACAAAATTAATCTTTGGTGACTAAAGTATACATAATTAAGTACCAAAAAGTGAAATATTGTAGTAATTTATTTATTTAATGAAGTGTATAATATGATCAAGACATTATTCCATTTTATTGAAAGAAATGTTATTTAGCTTTGTCTCACTCACATACTCACTATAGTCACCATATCTAATTCCATGTGAAGTTGGTTTGGGAACTGGGAAGTACCATGACATAATTGACATTTTGGGCTTATTAAGTTGAAACAATTTTGAAGATATATGTTGTTGCTATGAAACAGGGTTAATGAGCTCACACAAGAAGAACTATGGGCCCATAAAGCCGCAACCAACATTGGCTATGATTTGATGAGGAAATTCTGCCCTATAACTTGGCTATAAGGCATAAGGTTATAATAACTTGAGTCATTAGTGACTCTAACAACGCTAGCTGCCTTGGAGTTGTTGGTAAAGGTGTGTTAAAATTGGTATGAATAGAAAAGTTTATTGATAACTACAAAGCTTAGGGCTTGTTCGTCTTTTTTTTTTTTTAATGTGGATAATTTAAACTTGCCAAGAATACCAACAGGCCCAACACAAGGCAAAGACAATCATTTAATGTGGAAGTTAAACTTATACTACCTATGAAGTAATTTTTAACATACATACAAATTGTATCATCGTATACTTTCAAAACATACATTCAAATGAGTCTAAATTTTTAATTTTTTTTCATTTCTTTAAAAGCTTATTGATCCATGACACACAAATCATATATCTATCACGGATAATTTATAACAAGAAATATGTAAGAGATGTATAGATCGAGCATATGATATTAAAATCCATATTTTAGATTTAGTTTGTCAGTATAGTGACTTAGTGAGTAGTAAATGGCATTAAAAAATTGCCAATCTTCCATATTTTACGCTACATCACCATAGTTTAGGGCAATCGTTCATTGACTAATTGCTTAAGTCTAAGAATTGAACATTATAAAATATGGACAAACGATCAAAGATTCAGAGTTAAGCACGAGATTTTTAATGCTATGAACATTAAATTAATGGATTTGATCTAGCATCGATTCAAACGACGTATTAATCTCAACTTAATGTTTCATTAGACACGACACTAACTAAGGTTCAAAGTTAAGGTTCATATAATTAATAACTATGGAGAAATTGGTTACAAGAAGATGGCTAATAATCTTATTAACGGCTGGTTCTATATTTTTCATCCTACTTCTTCAACAATCGTTTCCACCTAGAAGTTCTTCCGTGAAGTTTGATTATTCGAGTAAGTGATAGTTTTGCTCCCTCCGTTCTTTTTTGTTCCATTTATGTTTTTTTAGTATTCGGTTTTCTTATAAATATGTGCTCATATATAGTTGTTGTTGTTCGGAATGTATCGACTTTGATGATGCAAATAATAAAATGTGGATTGTAAATTGTAAATGAAGGGAAGCATCGAGTATGGAACAAGAAGGAAGATGGCACTCCTATGGATGGAAAAGAAAGCATGGAGATCCAATTAAGAAGATTAGTACGAGGTACAAACTACAAAATTCCCTTTTTGACGTATACGGTATATTTAATTTTAAAGCAATCATACATTCATACGTACAATTTACTGTTTAAGCTCTATTCTATTATACTTATAACAATTTAATTAATGCAATCAATAGCTTTTGATTAGGGGATTTTTATCCACCAAGCGCCGTTTGACAAGTGGACCAACCAGGTTCCGCCACGCGTCCTCCACGGACCACTTAAGACACGCCACGTGTCCACCCATGCCAAATGGGACAACCGGCCATCAAGGCCCATTTCAGTCTAGAAGCCCGTTCGGCCCTAGGTTTACCTTAAACCTAGAGAGTTGCACGCTTCCCAAGGCTATAAATACTCGATTAATCCTCATTAATCAAGGGACCGAATAATTAACGGAACGGAGGAGAAACATTACGGAACACACTAATAACCGGCTGATCTCGCTAGCAAGGCAGATTACCTACATTAAATACTCTCACCTAGAGAGACCTTATTACTTTAATTTCTGTATTAATTACTCCTTAATCAGGTACTAACTTGACCGTTGGAGGCGGAGCTCTCAGGAGTCTCCGTTATTTTGCAGGTACAGGCGTCCGGTTCCAGTCTCGGAATTGTAGCTCTCCCGCAGGACATCAGAAAACCCCGAAACATTTGGCGCCGTCTGTGGGGAGAGTACTTCAGAGATGGCATCCAAGTCTGTACCGACCCCAGAAGAGAGGCGTCCCCTAGACGACCCTCAAGTTCAGTCGGACCATGATACCGAAAGTGAATTTGAAGTTGAAACTCATACAGCTCCAGACGGGACCCTAAGGGCCCGCCGTACCCGTCATACTGAAATAAGGGAACGGGAGTATCTTCAAACAGGAAGCGAGCCAGCAGGCGCACCGCTTGCTCGGCAACAGCCGACTGATGGGTCTGCTCCCATCACAAGGAACGAACTCATGACCTTCATGAGGGGATTCAAGGGAGAGATCCAAGAGTTGATCAACAAAAAACCGCCTGCTTCAGTCAAAGAGCAGGCGGCCAAAAAACCTTTCACTTCACTGAAGAGGAAGCCAGTTCAAGGGCGAGAGGCGACTCCCCATCCTAAATCTAAGAAGCGGGAGCCGTCTGCTCTTGATTTCACAAAACTCCGTTATCCTACGGGAAATAGGAAACCGGTTCGTCATATTCAGGCGGACGGGTCAAGGCAAACGTTCACAGATGCTCGGCACCTGCTAGAGCAGAAGAAGAGTGACCGATTATCAGAGTCGGCTTCTACTTCAAATTTTCAGGACAGTTTGCGAAATGCCTCGATGAGGCCAACTCAGTCGTACCATGAGAGTCAGTCAGGCGGCACCTCCCGTCAGTCTGGCTTTCATAGTGCGCAGGCGGTACCAAATTTGCCATTTGTGCCGCAACAACAATATTTTATGCAGCCACCTCCATTTGGTGGACCTGCAGCAAAAAACGTCCAACCTATGGACTGGCAGCTACGGCTGCTTAGACTTGGTGAACAGCCGTCGGCCTTCTCCAAGGAAATTACTGAAGCCGCTCAGCCAGCCAAAGTAAAAAATGTTTTAGTAGGCGCCTATGATGGCACTACTAACCCGGAAGACCATCTGATGGCATTCACCAACCTGATGTACCTTCAAGGGTTGGATGATCCCACTTGGTGCAAGTGTTTCCCAGCAACTCTCAAGGGAATTGCACAGCAATGGTTCTGCAACCTGCCGACTGGTTGTGTAAACAGTTTCAGGACGCTTGCTTACTTATTTGCCTCCAACTTTGCAATGAACATTCCTGCGAAGAAAACGACCCTTGATTTGGGAACAATTCAGCAGGGTGAAAAGGAGGGGCTTCGTTCCTACATCAGGCGGTTCAACCTGATGAGAATACAGATTCAAGGGTTACCGGATGAGGTAGCTTATACTGACTTTTTTAGAGGTCTCAAAGACGGGTCTACCTTCAAATTTGATTTAGTTCGAAAAAGGGTGGCGACTCTTCAAGAGGCCTTGATTGAAGCAGAAGCCTATATACAGGCGACTGATCTGTGTACAATGAAACAGTCGGACGGGAAGAGGTTCGACAATAGAGAAGGACGACAGAAACAGTCGTCCAACAAAGATGAAAAAAGAAAAGGGGTCTGGGCGGCTGATTCCTCTAAACAGCCGGCCAAGAAGAAAAAGGAATTCAAACCATACTCCCCAAAGTATGTGTTTAACAAGGATAACCAGTTTATCCTAAAAGAAATAAAGGGACGGCTCTCAATTGAGAAACCGCTCCCCATGAAGGGTTCTGCGAGCAACCGGAACCAAGACAAAATCTGTGCTTATCATGATGACATTGGTCATCACACCAACGACTGCATTAGTCTCATGCGGTACCTAGACCGCTTGGCTGATCAAGGTGATCTTGACACTTATGTCGAGAAATCTACGGGGAATACTTCCTCAAAAAAGCAGTCGGCCAAAAAGAATCAACAGGCCGACAGTTCCGATACAGATGATGCAGTCGTCTACACCATTGCAGGCGGCTTCTCAGGAGGCGGCCCCACTATTAGGGGCAACAAAGATAATATAAGGCGGTTAGATGTAAATTCCGTTCACCAAGAACGACCGTCCAAATATACATTTCCTGAGATTGTCATCACTGAAGAGGATCTAGGAGGAATAAGGGGGCCGCATGACGACCCTCTCGTTATTGAATGTAAAGTGGCCAACCAGAGAGTTGGTCGAATCCTCATAGATACTGGGAGCTCTTCAGATCTCATCAGCAGCAAATGTCTGTCAAAACTGAAATATCAGACGGACTGCATACATCCGGCCTCCCACCCTTTAATAGGGTTTGGAGGAGGAGTCGTCCACCCACTGGGACGAGTTGATCTACCCGTCCGCCTGGGCGAAAAAGGGGAAGGACGACACATGGTAGTCCGATTCCTAGTTGTAGAGGAACTCTCTGCCTACAACATGATTCTGGGTCGCCCAACCCTGAATAGTGCCAAGGCTGTTATAATCCCGTCACTTATGCTGCTTAAGTTTGAAAGGGACAATGGAACAGTCGGCTCCCTAAGGGGAGATCAGAGGATGGCCCGAGAGTGCTATCTCTCGGATGTCAAACCCACTGCTAAGGCCACTGGGTCAAGTGGAGAAAAAACAGACCTTGACAATGTCAAGGAAAGTGCGCCTGTTCAAGAAACAGGCGACAGAAAAAGAAAGGCGTCCCAGACAGAGTCCGCCAGAAAGGCAAGGAAAATAGACGCCTGTTCTGATTCACAACTGATAGTCAGTACAATGGCGAATACGAAGCAACACATCCGGCCATGATCAAATATTTACAGGCGGTCCGACAAGCAGTCGGCTCCCTTGAGAATTTCCATCTGATCCAAGTACCGAGATCAGAAAACAACCAGGCAGATGCACTCTCGAAATTAGCATCATCCGCCTCCTCCGATACTCCTCGAACTGTGTTTTGGGAAGTAATGGAGAAGAGAAGCATCGAGGAAAATCCTATTGGAATTCTAGACAGAAGCTCAACCTGGATGGATTCAATCAGGGCATATCTGACAAACGGTACACTGCCGGATGATCCTCAACAGGCGGCATCACTGAAAAAACGAGCCTCCTGTTTTGAAATGATACAGGGGGAACTGCACAAGAGGGGGCACCTTCAACCCTTCTTAAAGTGTGTTACTCCTGAAAAGGGACGAGAGATACTAGATGATCTTCACTCTGGTTTCTGTGCTTCCCATATAGGTGGTAGGATGCTTGCTCAAAGGGCAAGGCGGCAGGGCTACTTTTGGCCTACTTTGGAAGCAGATGCAATGGAGATGGTGAAAAAATGTGACAAGTGCCAAAGGTTTGGCAAATTAATTCACCGTCCGGCTACTGACCTCACTACCATTCACAGCCCACTACCGTTTGCTAAGTGGGGCATGGACATTCTGGGTCCATATACGCCTGCTACAGGCGGCAGAAGGTATATACTTGTTGCCGTTGACTACTTCACTAAATGGGTAGAGGCGGAGGCTGTAAAGGGAATCAAGACGAAAGATGTAATTTCATTCATTTGGAAAAACGTCATCACTCGGTTCGGGGTTCCCATGTCTATGGTTTTTGATAATGGTCCCCAATTTGAGACGCCTGTTCTCAAAAGCTGGTTGGGAGACCAAGGAATTGGACATTACTTTGCATCTGTCGGCCGTCCACAAGCAAACGGCCAGGTAGAAGCCTTTAATAAAATCATCTCAGACGGTCTCAAGAAAAAAATTGAACGAGCAGGCGGCCTATGGGCAGATGAACTACCACATGTTCTTTGGGCCATTAGGACGACTGAAAAAGGGGCGACTGGAGAAACTCCATTCCTCCTAACTTATGGTGCAGAAGCTGTTCTTCCAATAGAACACTACGAGCCGACTCTTCGAGTAATGCTATATGACGAAGAGGCAAACTGGGAAGCTATGCGCCTGGCATTAGACTCACTTCCTGAAAAGAGGGGCAATGCTGTTTTGCGCCATGAAATCTACCGCCTGAGAATGACTAGATCATACAACAAAAAAGTGCACAGGCGTCCACTCAAAGTAGGGGACTTTGTACTTAGAAAAATGGAAGCAGTTGGTAGGGCTAACGAGTCTGGCAAACTAACTCCCAACTGGGAAGGACCCTACCGAATCTATGCGGAAGTCAGGGACGGTACCTACCGTCTGGAAACACCAGACGGACAACCGTTGCCTCGAACTTGGAATGTAGATAACCTTAAGAAATATTTCTTTTGAATGATGTAAAGTAAAGAGCTACTTAATAAGTTGGCACTTACTATTCAATTTTGTATTACGAGGGGCATGCCGTCTGTACCTTTACAGTCGGCTACTCTCCATTGAGTTTCACTCTTTATCTTTACAGGGGCATGCCGTCTGTTCCATTACAGTCGGCTACTCTCCCTCGAGTATTTTACTCACAATACTTAGCTAAAAAGTTTAGGGCCTGGCCGATCCTGTAACTAACAGGCGGCTACCCTTCTTTTA